AAAGATTTCTGTAGAGATACCATGAACTATAAAGACTTTCCAGTACTTATCTTTGTAAATTTTCATGCTCTCTATATCAAAGTTCATTAGATCTGAGAATATAGATATCCAAGTTTGCTTGTGTTTTTAAAGAAAATCAGCTGAAAAATCTTCTGTTGTTATTAAAATTAGAGATTAGCCTTTAAATAACTTAGTAATTGAAGAAATAACTAGTTTTTCAGTAATATTTGCTTCAGTAAAGCTGTTATTTATTCTATTTCTGAAGAAGAAAGCTTTATTACTGATCTCTTCAAGTACTTGAGTATTCATCTTGAGAATTAGTCTTCTTTCTCTAAAGAGTTTTGGCTCAGAGAATTGTTTTTTATCTTCTTTACCATTTACTTTAGAGAGTAAAAAAGATTTAACTGAAGATTCAGTATTTAGTCCAGTTTTTAGAGCAGAAGAATATGATTTGAAAGTATTACTAGCAGATACTTTCTCTTGAGAGCAGCTTTGTGAAGTATTACTACTGTCAGTAGCTACCTTTTTCTGATTTTCAAGCTGTATAATTCTTTTCTCAAGATTTTGAAGTTCAGAGTTCTTAAAAACAGTAGTATCTTCTTTTTCTTTAAAAGAAAAGATTTTTTGAATACTCAAGATACAAGCATTTAGTTCTTTTTGCACAAGAACATGATTCTTCTTCTGAAATTCTTTAGCAAGAAGCTTAAGAATTGACTTTAAATCTTGCTGTTCAGATTCAGAAGAAGAATCAAAAGTAGAAGGCATTTTAACTATATTTCAAGAAGTATCTTCTTGAATAAGAAAACAGAAGATAATCTTTTGAAATTACTTTCTTAAGAAAAACTTCTGGAGTTATTTTGTATCCCACTTGCTAGTTAATCTAAACTAGTTCAGTTGTTTTACTAAAAGCTGAAAATCTCAATGTAGTAGATTTTTCTTTAGCCAGAGCTACACCTATTAAATTCTGGACTAGTTTTTTGAGAGAACTAGCAAACTATATAGTTTTTTTTGAAGACTGTGATTGCAGAAACAGCTTCTAGAATAAAAACTATGAAAAAACTATTGGAAGAGTAGAGAGCAAGAGGGCAAGCTAGTAAATTTAAGAGATATGAGCAATTATATCTCAAAAATCAGTTAAATTAATACTAGCAAGTATACTTTTTAAAGAGAAGTATCAAACTAGAGAGCTTTTTGCAAGAAAGCTTTCAGAAAGCAGCTGAAAGTATTCTTAAATTTAGTAGTAAAGACTTATATTCAAGATGCCAGAGCCAATACTATAAAAATAAGATATATTTTAAGCAGAAAAGTGAGAAGGGCAGCTGATTTTTTCAGATGTAGCAGCACCAGAAAGCTAGCATATCTTTTATCAGATGGAAAAGATAGCAAACCTGTTAAGTCACTAGAAATCTAGCTTGATTTTTTTCTTAAATGCAGAAAAATTAATAAAAACTGCTCTGATTTGCAAGATAGTCTATATTATAGCTTGTTTCTAGTTTAAAAACTTAGTTACTATAAGTATTTGAAAAGCTATTTTTCACTAATTAATTCTGATTTCTCAGCTACCAAACAGTATAGAACATACTAGTATTTAGTAGAGATTGGTCAGAATTTGCAGGAATCAATTTAGCTCAGCTATACCAAGAGTATCAAGTTAATAAGGCTGATTTAGTACTGGTGTGAGATCTAGAGAGCAAAGATCAGATGAGAAGGGGCAGAGAGATAAGATGGAAGTAGATAAGATAAGATAAGAGCTCTAGCTTAGCTTGGCACATCTCAACAAAATATGAGTAAGCAAGAGTCTTGGCAAGGAAAATCAAAATAAAAGAGTGTCTGGTAAGAGATTTTTCAGATAAAAAAAGTGCAATAACACAACAAATAGTAGAGATATAATAAGGAAAATTTGGTAGTTTGTTTAAAGAGTGTTATTGAGCTTGTCTCTCAAAATTCAGATGAAAAGATCATATGGTTGCTGAGTAATAGTGTGAGAAGTGTTTCTGACAGGCATGAGGCTGGCACCATCTATTTCCACTTATATCTCAACAACCGGCAAGGCAATTCACATGAAAATTGAAGAGGTTGTTAGATAGAGGAATAGCTTTTAAATAAATGTGGTTTCGTCCCTTTTGAACAAGAATTGACTGAGTTGTGAAAAGAGTATGAGTTGACTACCAGATCTTAGAAGATCATCAAAAAGATATATTCAAGACAGAAGAGACAGATTGCAAGATATACTATAATATGCTGAAGAGAATTCAAGCTAAATATAAGTGATATACATCCTCAGTAGTTTGCATTGAATTATATTGATATTTATTGCAGACAGAATAGCAGTGAGGAGAATTGTAAGATAATTGAGAATAAAGTTATTAAACAGCTGATGATCAAGTAATTTGCCAAGAGTAAGTTAAAGAAGTACTATAAGCATCAGCTTATGGTCTCTTAGTAAAAAAAGAGAGAGAAGAAGAAAAAGTATTGCTGAGAAAAGACTACAGAGATTAAGAATAAAGTTTAACAGAACAAGAAGATAGAATTTAAAAGTAATGAAATTTGGTAATAGTTCTGATATATTTAGATCAAAATAAGTCAGATGCAGCATTTTATTACTGCATGTAAGCAGGCTTAGTTTTATCAAATAATAGCCAAGCTTGAGACTAAGATTATAACCCATGATTATAATTATCTTGCTGTGATTAATGTGTCAAGAGAGAGAGTTAAGAAGAAGATAAGAGAATTTCTGAGCTAATTACAGAGTTTGATGAAAGATAACAACAGCTCATCTGCTTCAGAGAAGATGAAGAAAGATGATTTTGAGATTATAGTATTCTCTAATAAGAATAATAAGAAGAATAATAAGATGAATGATAATTCAATTATTAATGTTTAGAAAAGAAAGTTAGATTTTTAGTTCTTTTTTTATATTAATTTGAGAATGAGATGCTCTTAAATTAGCAAAATATTTTATTTTTCTGAAGAAGAATGTTTTATTTTGTAGATAATAATTTTGTAGTTAGTTACTGTGCAGAGTAGAATAAATCTAACTAGCTGGATTATCAAATTTTGCTTGAACTGTTATCAAATTTTGTTACTTTTTTAACTAAGACAAAACTCAGAGAAAAATCAATTTGATTATAAAAAAAAAAAATCTAATTAATGACTGAAGCTAGCAAACAAGCAAAATATACAGAAATTTCTTCAGAATTAATTATAGTGAAGTGGGGTATGATGGGATGCCTTGTCAAAGTAGGCAAGTTGGTTGAAATGGTGAGAGTGCAAGAAGGATGAAAAATCACAACATAGTAAGAATGGTAATGGCTGAGTAGTAAGAACAGAGAAGCATGCCTTAACAGATACCTAAGCTCATAAGAAATAATAGTACTAAAGAGCCTGTACTAACACAGGCAGCTCTAATAAGAAACAGTGGCAAGCTTCATGAACAAGAGATCTTCATATTCTCTAACTAATAACCAAACTAGCAATAAAGAATGAGTGTGTAGAAAAGTACAAAGATGCACAAAGGTATTGAGCAAGATGCAGGGGCTATGAGTGGTTTATATAGCTTAGAGATAGTAGCTGGGGGGGTTTTGTGCCTCAGACCAGAATAATCTTTATCCTAATATGGTACTGGAATCCCTACTACATTTCCTCCTGGCTTTCAATGTTGGTGTCCCCTGACAACAGGCAACATATGAAACAAAACAAAGGCAATTTAGTAAAGAAAATAAGAGGCTAAGAATTAGTAACAATCTGGTAAGAAAAGAGATAGGAAATAAGAATAAAGAGAGTGACAGCAGCAATCCCTAATAGTAATCACCATGATTCTCTTCTTCCACCAAGTTCTTGGGAGGAGGAGAAGACTGAACTGATGCTGGGTCAATGTTGTTGTGCACACAATGCCAATAGAATTTGTTATTAAAAGCTTTCTTTTTAATTTGATATGTCTTGACAATGGCATCCAAAGCAATTTGTGTGGTCTTTAGGCACCAGTTATTAATGAAGTTCTGAGTCTTCTTCTCTTCTGGTCCAAAGAGAGTATTGAGCTCCTCAATCACTATAGAGTTGTTCCACCTAATTCAGCCTACCAAGGCATCTGATATAGCTTCTAAGCCTTGCAATTGAATAGTAGTAGGGAATCAATATGAAACTGATGTGTAACAGTTTGAATGGCTGGAAGGTGATGATGATTCTGGAACTAGATCTCTATGTGCAGCAGAGAGCTGTAACCAGGTACCAGCTTTATTGACTTCAAGATGTTCATGGTCCTTCTGGATTGCCACATATCAGAGTAGCATAGTACACCAGACCTTTTTGCATGAACTGTGAGCTCCATGGGGCAGCAGAGAGCTTGTAATTCAGATATTGCCAGATTTGTAAATGATGTCAGTCCACCTAATATCAAATTTTCTTTCATTATCTTTGGTATACATTGTATTCTTAATATGGTGAACATAGCCATCAGTGAATAAGCCTCATTCTTCAACTAGTTCCCATTAATTCTCTAGATGGTTATGCATTTCTGACAAGATTTCTGTGCAGTCACCAGGCTCTTCTGCCATTAAGGTCAAGAATTCTTGTATCATGTTAACACCCCTTTCAGTAGTAATAGCATCTGGAACATTGACATTAATATGGTGAAATCCAGTTTTATCCCCTGGCTTAGCATACTTGGCATAATATGGATAGGAGATTAATTTCCAAGCATGATCAGATCTTGTCAGCACATACCATAGGTAGTACACAGGGTTCTGGCACATGAGTTGTTGGTCAATACTGTGATATATTGTTCTCAACCATCTGTAATTGTCATGACCTTCCATCATTCACTGATGATAGTAGTACATATCATATTCACCATTAACCCAAGTGAGTACTGTAGTGATGGCATCTTGTAACTTATTATTCCACCAGCACATTAGCTGGAGAATAACAACAGACCCAGTAATCTCCCATTCCTTCTGAAGATTGCTAGTGGTGAACTTGTTAACTCCAGTGATCTACACATATCAGTTAAAGTTAAACATTCTCATGTTTGCAATCAGAGGAATAATTGACTGATGTTTGAATTTGTAAATATCTAAAGCATCTTCAGCTCTAGCTGGTCTATTTGCCAAATGGAACCAGAGATAGATGCTGTCATTGGTCTTGACTGAGCCAATGTTGCAATAATTTCTATAAATGTGAGCTAAATGGTTGAGAAGCTCCTCTCTATTAAGTGTGTGAGTCTGCAACCCAAGTTTTGAAGCCATTAGTTTTGCATGGTTATAGCATAGATAGATATCAGCTTTCTTATTGCTAAATGCCTTTTCTAATTGCTCCAGAATGCAAATAAGCTCCAATTCTGAATGTATTTTAATACTCTTTATCTTTTGCAGGAGTTGCTGTTCAAATCCATGGCAACAGCAAGTACCAGAGCATACTGCTATGACAGATTCTTCACACTTGTGTTGAGGTATCTCTTCATCACTTTTGAGAGAAATAATGGACTTGTCATTATCATTTAAGTCTTGGAGAGTTTGGTGTACTGACATGGCTGCAATTCTTTCACTGCAGCACTTCAGAGCTTCTGATTGGCTGGATGGATTGGCCAGCACACTGGTGAATTCAAATGGCAGCTGTGATTGGCTAGTTTCAAATCCATGTGATCTAATTGACATTGTGCTATGTATAGAGGCTCCCAACATGTTGCAGCTATATGGCATAGACATTTCACTCATTGGAATGTCTCTTGGTGATCTTGGAGACTGCAGTTCTTCCAGTAGACCTCAGAAGCTGCTTGCAGTAGGAGAACTTCTAGCAATATCCTGAATTGAATGTTGGGAGCTGGATAACTGTGGAAGAGCCAATGGCTGTAGAAGACTGTAGTTGTCAATGGTAAGGCCCCATCAGCATAGAGCATCTCTTGAAGGAAGTTCACATATACAGTTAACTTCTTTATTGGCTGTAGTATAATCACCTGACAATATAGCTAAGCTCCAGCAATGTCCAGCTCCTGTAGCATCTAGTCTTCAGAGCACTGTGCTGTTAATATTATTGGCAAACTTATCCCAATTCTTGTAGACATTTAGAGTATGACAAAGCTTTTGTGCTGCTCACAGGCTCTTCACTTTTGACCATATGACATCAATCCTGTCAATACCCCATGTAGCAACAAGTCTATTCTTGATCTTTTGCATATCAATGTGATGTTGTTTGACATCCAGGGTAATCTTTCAAGCATCATGAAAATTGGCTTTGAAATTGGCGTGTGTAACATGTTACCAAGCTCTGAATCTTTTAACATATTGATAGAAATGGGCCACTAAGTCAGTAACCATATCAGTCACTCACATCAGTATGTTCATTAGTTCAATCTGTAGGCCATAGCAATGGTGCAGAGCTTGGTTATCAATGTATTCCATAGCTGCTGTTAGATTATTGAAGAAATGGCTATCCAGGTTGACTCCACTGTCTCTGGTAATAACCAGGCCTTGATTTTCAGGTGTAGAGGCTAGAGGAGGCAAGTTGCTTCATCCAGCCATTTTGAAGAATATCAGTAATCCAAAAAGAATTGCAAATGTCAGAATAACAAAATAGAAGGCAAGAAGAAGTGTTGAAAATGTTAAATCTGTGAAAAGAATCAAGCTTGAATGTAAAAGACAGTAGAAGCTTCAGAAAAGAAAAATCAGTCTTTAAATATCTTCTGAAAAATTCAGAAAAAGTGAAGACTTCTGCAAATAACAAAGAAAGAGAAACTTCCCAAATAAGCAAGCAAAAACTTCACTTTACAGGCAAATAAAAGAAACCTCCCAAAAGAGCAAGCAAAAACTTCACTTTTGCAAACAAAACACAACAAATTACACATCTTGTGGAGGTATAACAACAGCAAAGCTCCAGTCATCTGGTATAACAGTTGGTAATCATGTTTGCTCCATTTCTTCTTGGTCATTTTCATTTTTACTCTCACTCTGATCTTGGTCATTCCCCCTATCCAAGGAGCTAACATCTGAGAAACTACTAGAGAAAATATTAGACTGGCTTCTTGTGGCATATCTTTGAGAAACATTCTCCATCTCTTCATCTGAATCTGCTGAACTATCACTGAACTGCTCCATTCCAGATCTCATAAGATACTTCTTTAATCTGCTTCCTGCAATAGATTCTTTAATTTCAGTGCCATCTAACTCTTCAAGATGATAGAAATCTAGTTCTTGATTGGCAGACTTAACTCTATAGAGTTCTAGCCATTAAAAGTACAGAATGTTGTTTCTAGACATATTCTGTTCTTTTTTGATATTGTGAAGCAAGACAAGATCTCCAGATTGAAGAGAGTTGATCCAAATATTATGGGTATCATTAAAGTATTCCTTATTCTTAGCACACATTCAGAACTGATGATGTGCTGCTTCCAGAACATCCTCATCTTATTGTTTAATTTGGCATGCACACATCAGAAGAAGGTCTTCAGTTGTTCAGACATTTTATCATGAAATTGTTTGCCAAGTGAAAATCTCAAGTTCAACTGGAAGAACTGCCTCCTGGCCTATTAGTAATCTATAAGAGAAGATACCAGTACTAGCCTTAGTCATCATTCAATCCACCATCAGAATTACAGGAAGATGTTTAATCCAATCCCTTTCAGTATCATTAGTGACTTTAACTAATCCATCAGCCAAAAGCTTATGACCAACTTCCACCATACCATTTACAGGAGAATTATAGAGCAAAATAACAATGCATTTAATGTTGAATTTCTTCAGTAAGGTCTTCACAACATTCTTATTCTCTGGTCCTCCATCCATAACAAATTTGGCAGGCAGGCCCCATCAACAGATGATATCCTCATAAAGAAATTTGGCCACAGCTTCAGCTGTTGCCTTCTTCAATGCTCTAGCTTTCACCCATTCAGTGAAGTCACATCTTGCAACAACCAAATAATTTCATCCTCAACAGAAAGATATGTGTTTGATATCCACTCCAACTTTCTCCCAACAGATAGAAGTCCAGGTAGAATGAAGCTCTTCACTTAATCTTTGTGAATCTCTTTGTTGACATTGAGAACAGTGCTTCACATAAGCAGACATGTCTTTATACATCCCTGACCACCAGTATCAAGCTTGTAAGATAGAGTATGTTCTCTCTCACTCTTTATGGCCAAATTTGTTGTGCATCATATGTAAAATTTGTTTGCATTGTTCTTTGTTGTCTACAACACATCTTAGAGGCACACCAGATCCTGCTTGTCTAAATAGTTGATCAGTCTCCACCACATATTTAATTGCTTTCTTTTGGAATTTTGTGTACTCCTTTTCTTCCATGCTCAATGGTTTTGATAGGGTAGTTAGATATCATGCAATTTTCTCTGATTCTTCTGAATATGTGAAGTCCAGTATCCTAAGATCTTCACTATTGAGAGCTCAGCCAGCTAAAACTCTTATAGAATCCATAAAGGCAAACAGATCTTTATCTTCTTCAGATTCAGGTTGTTCTCCAGTATCTAGTTCTTGGCAAGACAGTCTGTCAGCAGCTGTGTGTTTCATCCCAGGAACATGTTTAACAGTAAAGTCAAAAAGATGTATTCAAGCTATTCAATTAGTAACCAAAGCTTCTGGAACATCTGTAGCAGTCCTATTAAGTTGGGCAACAAGAGTTTTTGCATCAATTTCCAAGATAAAGGGTACTCCATAGATATGATATTGGAATTTCTTGAAGACTTTTAAAACAGCTCTGCATTCTTGTTTACCAGCATCATATGTTTTCTCTGAATCATTCCATACTCTGGATTTGTATTATGTGGAATGTTGAGCCCCTTGTTGCTCCTGAATAATGCATCCTCCCCATTCTAATTCACTGGCATCAACAGCCACAGTGATAAGCAAAGGATCTTGTCCATAATTGATTGGAAGAATGATAGAGAATGAACATAACTTTTCCTTTAAAAGCATAAAGACATCATTTTGCTCTTCAGTCCATGACCATATAATGTTTTGTTGAAGCAGATAATGTAAAGGTTCAGTTATCCAACTGTAATGCTCTATAAGTATTTGGAAATATCCAGCAAGCCCTAGGAATTCTTGTAATTCTGTAATGCTTGTAGGAGTAGGCCAATTTGCAATTTTAGCCATCTTAGTTTTCTCAGGTTGTTATCTGTCATAGTTGCAGATTCATCCAACAACATTGACTTCAGACATGCAGAATTGAGATTTGGTGCTGGAGATTCTAGCTCCAGAAATTTCAACAAGTCATAAAACATAGTCCAGGTTCTGCAGATGATCATAAATAAATCTTCTTATTCCTGGAAGGACTTCAGTTTCATTTTTGACACACAATCTCTTTACTTCAAGATCATTCATAAAGGCTTGAGCAATCTCTGAAAAAACTTCTTGTATAATCTTCATTATCCTGTATTGGGCTTGAGCTGGTGAATTTATTGCCCCTTGAATTAAAGTTGTATGGCAAAAAAGCTCAATAGGGGTTGCAATAGCTGTTATATTCCTGCTCTCTTCAGCTAATGGAAAATTATTATATCCAGAGAACAAGTTGCATAGGCTAGCCATAACAAGTTCATTAAAGTCTTCAGTGTATTTGTCAACATTAGAAGAAATAAAAGCATCTTGAATAGTAACTTTGTTGTACATATGTGCTGCATTAACTAAACAATATTTGCCTTTCTGTTTCTTTGTGACCAGAAAATAGGGGTTGATATATGAATCATGGCAAGGCTCTAATGTTTTAGCTTCTAACTTGTCCTGAATGATTTTAATTAGCTTATCATGTAGAGCACAAGGAATTCAGTAAGTCTTAGTCTGCCAAGCTTCATGAGGCTTTGTCTTAATAATCTGCAGAGGCAAGCATTCAGAATGAACACCATATAAATCTTTAAATGATTACACTAACACCTCTTCATGTTTATAAAGGACTGATATGAAAAATTCCTTCTCCCAACTTGTTAGTTCAAATCCAATTTTGAGCTTCTCAATTCTCTTATTTGTTAGCTGTTCTCCAACAGGAAAAGGCATGATCCTAGGCCTAATGTGGTCATCAAATTTACAATTAAATGTGACACATTTCTTCTCAGGATAATACTTATTCAAACAAACATCCACCCAATTATCTAGGTCTTCTGGTTTGCTTCCATCAGATTTTCCAGGTGCTAATGGCCTTATCTTATCAGCTTTCTGCTTATAAGCAGTGCACACTCTTCAGACTTCTGAAGAAGGCAGCCTGATGTCCCAGCCACTATTGAAAATGTCAACTTGATGTGATTTCTTTGTGACAAAATCATGATTTTTGTTCAGAGATGTGTAAATTGATCAAGCACTTCATGAAATAGGTTTTTGAATTAAGCTGGAATTAATATTGTGTGTGTAATGTTTGCAGTGAGCTGTAATGCTGTCCAGATCAGGAAGCAGAGAACAGAAAATCTGAACTCCTGATGCAAAATTATTCTTGTTCTCTGATTGGTCCATTTGATTCACCAGCATGCTGGTCAATCCAATTAGGCTTAGTGTGCTTTTGAATTCACCATCACTGAAACTATGTTTCTTCTTATTACTATAGTCACCAATACCAGTACTGCTGCCAACACTCTCAACTTCTCTATTCTTTTCAACCTCCTGACCTTCAACCTTCTCATTATTAATTCTTATATCCATCATCTTTATTGCATTTTCTTCAT